CATCCACGTAACTTTAAGAAGTTCAAAAGAAACAACTATGAATGGGTATGAAGAAATGCCTTACCCAACTACAGAGAGATTCCAATATATTCTCATACAATTAAGGCCACAAAGGGAAATCAACAAGAAACAATGAAAAAATAGTCAGAAAATATCCACTGTTTGCTGATTCAAACTAATCAAGGTAAAGAGGTATTGATTTTTCATGAGTTAACCATGAGCAACTTTGAGATTCTGCAATGCCCATAACATGGTGATATAGGATCCATGTAACTTAAGATTTTCGAAAGAAACAACTATGAAGTTATAAGAGCAGTAAACAACTATGATATAGCAAGTATTTTACAGCAAAATGGTTTTTTTAAATATTGAAACTAACGTAAAAGCATCAACATGCAGAAGGAAATTATCTCCCCAATTCTCAGGTTAAGTCCTCAAGGTGATTAATAAGAAGTATAGGAAGAATGCCAATTTTTATTTGTGCAAACAAGCCAATCACAACTATGTCTGTACCGAACAGCAAGAACTATCAAATATGGCCAAAACTCTTATCTACACACCTCAAGGTAAAGAAGATTCCCAGTTTCAAGCTGACCTGTTCAGCTCTGCTACCATACACCTGCATGTTCCAAACACACAACAAACATCATTAGAATCCAAGAGTGGCAGTGAGTGCCATTCATAGAAACTAACAGGGAAAAATGGAACCTGAACATCGAGAAGTGAGGTTTGCAGAGAAAGGAGTGGCAGACAGATCGAATCACTCGTGAACTTGTTCTCTCTCTTTCACACACAGTAGAAAACCAATCAACTGTAAAGAAAATTTAAATTGGCTGTTCACTTCAGCTTAACACTGAAAATTTCTGCCTGGTAATCCTGCAACTCAACTTCCCTCTAGTCTTGTGACTCCTGTGAATCATCCTCTGCCAGATGAGATTGCTGCTGTGGCTGCTGCAATCGTCCACTGCCATCAGCACCGGCTCCCAATCTTCCTGGTGTCATCTGCTGGTAGAACTGGCTCAAAGCCTGTGAATTCAGCACGCCGATATGCGCATCTTGTGAGAGGCCGAGCTCCAGTCCGGGTAGCTGCTGCCCATGGCCGCCGAACATTGATGCGAAACTCATGGCACCAAGGTTGGCGCTGGGCAACTCCATTCCATGTAGTGCCATCCTATGGATGAAGCTGCCCGCCGAAACATCGCCACCGCCTCCGGCCCCAAAATTCGAGCTTGATGAGGCGGCCACCGCCGGAAGCAAAAATCCAGAGTTCAATCCACCCACCGGCGGCGGCCACAAGCCGAGGTGCGACCGAGGGAGGCCTGCAGCCCCAACCATGGCCCAGTTAGGCCGCAGGGCGGCGATGGCGCCCTGCCCCGCTTCGTCGGGCTTCTGGTGGACCCCTGCAAGGACGGTGGGGCCTGGGTTAGGAACTGAGCCAGCGGCGGCGAGGGCAGATGCCGGGATTGTCCCCGTGCCGGTGGCAGCGATGATGGCCGGCTCCGCTTGCTGGAGGAGCCACTGGATCGTCTCCCCGTCGGACTTGTGGCCCAATTCTCGGGTGAGTTGGAAGACCCTGGCGGCGCAGAGGGCGGGCATCCTGATCCTTCTCCCCCTGCCGTCAACTTTGGTGTGCCGATCCTTGTTGGAGCTTCTCTTGGGCGCAAGCTGCCGCCTTTGCTCGTCCTTCTCCGCTGCTGCTGCTGTTGCCACCGCCTTCAACTCCCGCCCACCTGAGGTTGTGGAAGGCGAAAGATCGCAGCTTTCTGCCGCTGATGAGGCCGTGGTGGGTTCCCTCTTGTCCGACTGTGGGAGGCCCAGGGCCCGGTGGAACTTGGGGACCTCTTGGGGCAACTTGGCGGAACCCTTGAGATCCATGAGACAGAGAGAGAGCGGAGAAGGCAAAAAGGTCGGTTTTTGGGACTTGGACAGTCAGATGAAGATGAAGAGGGAGAGGAAGGGGGGAGTACCAGGCTGCCTCCACAATGATTCTGATGGAATGCAGGGTAGACTCGAAAGGACCAGAGAGAGAGAGAGAGAGAGAGTAGAAGAAAAGAAATAAAATAGAATAGATGTCAAAATGAGGAAGATACCAAAACTTTCCAAATTTACTGCCTGCCACTGAATCTTTTACAGCCTGCTTTTACTCACATACACATGCTGCTGGGATATCCATGTAAGGTGAAAAAGAGTGGGTGTTAAGCCAAGGAAACGAGGACGAGACAGCTTAGATCTCCCCTGACAGTCAATGGGGGGAGGGATAAATGCCACTGCCTTGCTTGAATTTGTTTTTTTGACTGCCCATGAAATGTGGGGGCTGTCCTCAGTATTAATCAGATTTCCATGTAAAACTCCCTTCCCCCCCAATTCCATTGATTGGATTCCCATCCCATAATTGCTGCTTCCCTGTTCCCCTCTTTTCCACCCTGTCCCTGTTATGATTACCGAGGACAGGGCGGTTGCGTCACTTGGACGGGACTCTATGGTGCAGGTGGCACTCTCTCATGGGCACATTTGGCATCACACAACTGGTTACTCTGATTGCTTGGCCGCCACTCTAAAAGCATGAGATAGCAAACCGAGGAAATGAAACCAACAATCTCGTGAAGCTCCTTTATTGAAGCTACAGCAACTCTTCTCTTGCCTCTGTTTATGTAATCCTTCTGACTTCTCTGGTTTACTTTTCTGGCATGATTGAATTGGACTGTAGATGTCCACTTAAAGATTATTTTCTTTTTATTTTTCTTTATATAATTAAATATACTCCTCAATATATATATATATATATATATATATATATATATATATATATATAAAGAATTTCACATCAAATCCTCCCTAATGTTCTCATGACAAAGATGCCTTATTCTCATTTGGGCATGGCAGACGATCACTTTTTCCAAAAATGTGTTTGTAAAGTCAAATATAATGATAGCATTTATCATTTAAGGGCAAGACAGTTGCCTAGAAAAAACTCCAAACTCTAAAGGCAACTTATCCAGAAAACTCCTATTTTTCATAATGGTTGGAAAATATCTCTAATTTTATTTTTATCAAATAATTATCTATTCCTTCGTAATTTCATATTTGTCCCCTTTGCCAATCAACCAAATCAAAAGATAAAAGAGAATATATATATATATATTTTCTATAAGAGGTAAGCGGAGAAGATAGGTTTTGATGGTAGGACTTTGTGGTGACAAAATAAATGAATTACAACTCAAATATTTAAAAGATAAATAATGAAAATGAGATTTAAATCTAGGAGCTACCCAACACCTTGGTATTGGAAATGAATTTTACTCACATTTGAAAATATCATATTTGTTATTATAAATTTTGATGGGGCTTTTTCCTATTTCCATAGATCATGCCATTTTCATTTCTTCCCTTCCATACTTTTTAAAATCTCAACATTTACCCCTCCTTTATTTCTTCTCCCCTCTATTTACAAACGGGTCTTTCTTGGTCCGATTCAACGTATTAAGAACCGATTCAATGAATTGTACTATACCAAATTAATAGTAAAATAATATTAATGTATCGACTTTAAAATATTTTATGGTCATATATTGTGCTAAAATATTGTATTAAATCGTTGCTTAAAAAAAATACTCAAAACCTGTGTTGACATATTGTAAATTATGTTATAAATTTTAATGTTTTAAGTTAAAAATCTGAATTTTATTTCTCAAATTCATTTTAAATATTATCATATATATACATACATACATATATATACATACATATATATATATACATACATATATATATATATATATATATATATATATATATATATATATATATATATGCATGATATAGACATATTGGCAAAGGAATTTATTGTTTTGCAAATGAGACATACTCAATTCTCCCATATCCTT